AGCCCAGTTTTAAAACCTGTTGCCCTATCTTATAATAAAAACAATTATGTGATTTGTTTCTATCTTTTTCTTCTTTTTTTACACTACGTATAACCAAATGTTTCATAATTTTTCATAAACTGTGCCCCTATTTCAAAATCCCATTTTACACATATACAATATCATTTTAAAAACATACAATAAACAATTACACAAAGTTTTCAAATAGTAACATCTAAGTTGATATTACACATTTTCTCACTGGGATATAAACTTGCATTTATTTACATGCTCTACCACAAAATATCTACTTGACAAGTAGATATGCAAACAAAATCACTTCAACATATCATAAGCATATTTTTATGGCCACAGAGAGATACATTACACACACTTTATATATAGATGGAAATATATATTCACTATATATATATGTTTATGTAAGCAACTAAAATTAAAATCACATAAGCATTTCCTTTTAAAATCACTGCTACATAAAATCATGTATTCCTTTATTATAACTGATCTCCATAAAATTCAGACAACCATAAACCTGGAATATAACAAAACCCATGGAGTTTGGGTTCTTGAATTTCTCCATCTTATTTGCTGTTTATGTAGGTTCAATTATCCTTCTAACTAAAATTGAGAAAATAAAATTTAACTGAATCACTGCAGTAACATGTAAAAGTCAATGAACTAATATTTCATGTATTAAACTATTTGAATTCTAATCAGTGTTGAATGAAATGTCTTGAACAAGTTAAACACATTCAAGTTCAATTTTTTCATAACAGCTTGCATAGTTTCTTCCGCATTATCTATAAACCTCAAAACTTGACAGCTTGTACCTTCACAACCTGCCAGCTTGTACCTACATGAATATCACATCAGAAAGTGAGGGTTAGGCCAAGAGTAAAGTCTTGAAAGATAGCACCCGTATTTACCTCTACTCTTATATTAAACTGATGATTTATTAGTAATCTCATGACCTGCATACTTGTGATGCATGACTAGACAGTTTATAATCTGCTATGTATAGTCTACCTTTCTTTTAATTTATTTATCTTTGGGTTGTCTCTTTCTCCTTTCTCTAGAGAGCAGCCATAGTGTACCAACTTAACAAATACTATGAATTACTTCAAGCATACTTTAAAACCAAGGAAATACTAATTTCTTTCTCTTGTCCTTTCTGAATTCATATTTCTAAGATATGTTTCTATACCTAATTCCAAATAGGTGCTTCTGCTTAGTTCAGACTCAACTTTCTAATTATAAATTGGTTATGATCCAATAGAACTTAAAAAAGTGCTATACATTCCAATCTCCCCTAAAACTCCAATGACCAAGCCAAAAAACAATTATTCTTGTTCTCCTATCACATAAAAGGGACTATTGGGACTTTGTCTAATATTTGGCTATATTTTCTAAACTAGCATATCTTACAAAGCTTCAGCTTAAATTACATTTATTCTTCTGTTCTATATGCCTCTTAAAGCCTGTTACTCTTTGGAATATTTTAATCATTGCATGGAATAGATTAAAATAATGATTAAATAAATAAATAAATACATAAATAAATGATGAAAATACAGTTCTTAATTTCTAAATCTTCAGGAATAAAATCCTTTTAATGAACTTACTTTATGAGATAGAACTTTTTAAACTACAGTAATCATCTGATGGTTAAATTTCCCAGTAGTGCTTTTCCCCTAAAACTTCCAAACATTCTATTCATAAGGACCAAGATCTTTTATTCAGCAGGAGAAGGTACACCTGCAGTGAGCAAAGCTGCAATCTGATGTATTTGCACTTTTCTTGAACGTATGTACACCATAGTTTCCCATAGTGTGTTAACCAGAACTTCATCTCTTGTCTCATCAAGCTGCACATCCAGAGACAACTGTGGGGAGAGTCGTAAATAAGCTATCCCACACATTCCACACCAAGCTCGTGCGCGATCCACAGTGCGATTATCTGCCATTGTAGCCTGGAAAAGACAGTCAATTTCAACACTTCAGTTTCATCTCCTAATCCATCAACATAGTGAATGTTTTAATTAGTGGATCACGTCTTAACCCTCTACCTTAACTCACTGGACCCTGGGGACACGACTGTCAAGTTAAGAGAAAATTTCAGTCCTTTACAATATAATCACCTCCATATAGCAGTAAAACAAAATACCATTTAAATGGTCTCAAATACAAAAAAAAATGTTTAGAAATCAATTTTTGGTTTTGGGCCTGGTAGTATTTATTTTATATTCCCTGTACTCTAAAGGTGAAAAAAAAAACATGCCACCCACCTGATCAACAAGAAGCTTTGCCACATTAGACAGGCCAAAAGCCATCCTCACTGTACTCCACATGCTCTCTGGTTTGAAGCAATCTATTGCATCCACCTGAAATTAATTTTTAATTGTTGACGATCAAAGTCTATCCATACAAATTTTTACAACAATAACTTCTTCACATCAGAAATATAAAAGATTGTCTGAGATCACAATAAACAGATTTTAATCAGCTCTGAAATTAATCTATATCTTCACATAATTTTCTCAATGTGGATATTCATATCATTACATAAAATCATATGTACTCTTAAGAAAAGCAGCATGATAGTTTAGCTTTTATAGCCACTGTAATATACAACATCTGGATAACCTGATGTATAATCCCAATATGCCAGTACTAATGAAAATATTTTCCTAGAAGAATTGGGTCAAAACTACATTTTCACCTGGTTGTTGAAAAATATGAATTACAGTTTTCTTACAGCAATCATTTTCACTTAATTGTTGATAAATATGAATTATGCAGTTTTCCTACAAAAATGTATTTTCCCCCTACATCCAACCATAACAAAACACAAACTTTGTACCTCACTATAAGAGGATCAAAAAATACTCACTACATACAGTCATATATTCCTTTTCATATCTCTCTTTT